CTTATTTTAATAGTTAATATTTCTTTAGTTAGTTTTTTTTTTCGGCAAAATCCCATGTGATTAAGCGGGGGATTGATGGCGGTTCTTTCACATTCTTTGGGTTTATCAAAGAATGTGCTTATTAATATTTATTTCTTTTATTTTGGTTTTTTGGCATTCAAAGACTAGAATAATGGTCAGAAAGTTTGACCGCATGAGAAACTGATATGGTAACATTTTTCCCGTGTGTGTGGTTATATAATGTTACCCTGGCCCGCTCATTTCTTTGAGATAGCGCGACTTCGAAAAGTGTAGAAGATCTCTAAAAGTGTTGTGCAGGAGTTTTTTTAAATTGTTGAAATTACCTGTCAATTTGCTTTTCAATCAAATTATCAATTTGTCCAAGACGAAGGGTTTTGTTCGAACTTTCCGAGAATAAAGGGAAGTACAAACACGTCACGCTTGTGAGAAAGTACTTATTTTAATTAAGGCCACTGATCCTGAACTTGCTAACAAAAAGATTGCTTTTACTAGATAGTTTAAATCATCTACAGTTTGTATTGTAGACACTGAAATGTTTGAAAATCTTATTTGATTGTTTAAAAACAAGAAATACCACTTTCTATTTTTTGGAATCCGGATGTGATCTATCCGAATCGTCTCCACTTTTCGGTCAAGAAGTTTGGTAACGAGTGCACACCCCATATTCACTTAGAGGTCATAAGCACGATTAAATATTTCTTGTTACCCTTTAACTGCCATGTTATATTTGGAAGCGTTTTCATTCGCTTTGGTTTGGTTTTCCACACTCTGTCTTACCGGTAAGTCTTTTGACGAAATTTGAGTGACTGAATTATCGTGTAATTACTAGTTGGAGTTATTTAAGACAAAGATTAACCAAACAACTTTTGCTTATTACGTTAACGTGCGTAATATAAAACGATTCAGCAGCTTCTTCCGAAGTGTTTGTGGCTTTTTACTCACTGACAGGCACTTTTTACAGTGAAGTTTTGTCGTTCTGGTAAAGGAACTGTTTTGCAGATAATGCTGTCCAATTTGCAGTTGAATCGAGGGAAGCTTATATATTTTAGACCATGATTAAGTTTGTTGGAAGCCGGCTATTTGCATTTCTCCGCCATTTATTTGCATATATTATGGGCTGCCCAGGAGGTTCTAGATTTTGATTGTGGGAGGACAGGTTAGACTGTATGAAAACGAAAATAAAGCCCTCGGCTTGGTTGTTCGAAAGGCGGATGACTCTATCCACTGGATAAATCTCTATCCAGTGGACTGACCAAATTTGGTTTCCTTATTATTATCCACTGGATAGTGATTTATCCGGTGGATAGCACCATCTAACATATGAACAACAGGGACCTGATAATCACTTCACTGAAGTCATTTTGCACAGGTGATGCTTGTTATATCTCTCAAGTCACCGTCCATGTTGGCGAAGATGCAAAGCTGCTTTTCTGCCGTTCTGCGAATGATACCAGTAAACATTTTCGAGGTTATCGGGTATGGAAAAATGAAGACACGAATATCTTCATTACTTTGTCAAGTGCAATCGGCACTGGAAATTGCACAGAAAACGCCACGTTGAGGGAGTTTTGCACCTCGAGAACAGTATTCTCGGCACACAACCAAACGCATTTATTACTTAAAATCAAGAATACCATCCAAACCGATGAGGGGCTGTATGGGGTTGGCACTGTATTTGAGAACCTAAGCGGCAATCACTTAGAGAAGACCAACTTGTCCGTTATAGAACTTAAATTTGATGGTAAGTGAGACAGTCATTAGATACTTCTTTTTACTTAGATCGGCTATTCAAAAACATGTACAGTTGCTACTCTTCATTATCTAAGTGCTATCGCTATATAGTCCCCGAATTATGCACATACGTAATCATATCAAGTGGGAATTTTCCTCAAATGTAGTTTGTACGTTTAGTGATCATATCATTTTGTAACCATTCATTGCATGATCGAATATGATATTATAAATGAAAACTTGGCCTCTCGGCAGGCGAGAGAATATGGACCATAATATCACTGCATTATATACATGTATCCTATATCCTCAGTATTATTATTATTATTTTTTTTTTTTTCTTCAGGAATGTCAACTGTTCCTACATCTTTAATTTCAACCATAAAGTCAGATCAACCAACTGGTAAGAACTTTTCACCTGTAGTTGTAGTGGTGTACATGCATCCTCAAAGGATATATAGCGTCTCTCAAATCAACTAGCTTTTATCACAATTGTCCCAATAATTGTTTCAATCGGTAGATTTTCTTTTCGTCACTGTAGCCATTGTCAGAGATGCTTATAACAGTTTTTTTTATCGGTGTTAAGGGATTTTACTTGATTATGGTTAGCATAGGGCCCTGGCAAGCCTGGAAATACTGGGGTGGGGGAAGGGGGGGGCGCAAAATTCGCTTGTTGTATCTTTTAAGTAAAGGGCTTTTGGTCTCGAGAGCACATTGGACGGGTGTAAGCCCTTTCTTTGTTGAGGATGGAAAGAGAAGTGGATCTAGAGGGCATACATCCTCGGAAAACTGAAGGAAATGAAACACCAGACCTTAATGTCCATTTCTCAGATTTTTGAGCCATTTTCTGGTTTTTGATGGGCCAAAAACTCTTTCTAAAATGTCACTAACTTATGAAACCCTATCCTATAATTCTGCACGTCATATATACTCTGCCTCATGCAATATTTGTTGACGATCGATGGTTTATTTATAGGTTCATACTCAAGTACGTCTTCAACACCTACCTCTGCAAGTGCCTTTATACCGATCTTTCCGATGGCAAATATACTTTTTGGATATTTTCTACTATTTGAAATTATGTAAGTTTCACCAGTAATGTGAATCTAGCCCTCTAGTTCTAAGTACGGAAATAGATGAAAGTGAAGTGGATTTTGTTTTAGAAGAATTTTTGACAAGTAAACCTTTTTCCAGTTGCCTTTTGTCGACCTGTCATTCTTATGTCAACTAGTTGTAGTGTATTTGTTCGACATTTCATTTTCAAAAACAACAAGGTTTGTATCAGACTCAAAAACAAACTGGACTTGAACTAACAGGATAGGCCAGCAAAGTGTAAGCAGTTTTACAGCTTACAGATGATATTCGTGATATTTTGAGCGTTTAGTCCACGTTTTGACCATGAAGCAATCTCGCTCTCCAAACATTCTACTGACCAATCACCCGATCTAACACCCTGATTGTGCTTCTTGGTCATACATTGCTGTTGCATTTTCAAGTTATGTAAGACTATGTAGTCCTTTTTGACTTTCAAGCATTGGTATTGAATGATTTTTTTTCTTTTCTCAGGAATATTTTGGAAAACTTTTAATGGTTCCTGGGTTTTTCAAACTACGATCGTGTGGAAGAGTAGATTAAGTAGAGGTTTATCTAGTAGTTTTAAGTCTGAGAAAAAAGCTTAAACGTAAGAAATAGTTGCCCCATATTAAAGGTAATCTAAGACAGTCTTGGAGTCTGGATTTGACGCTGTGGATTTCGGATTCTCGTTGCTGGATTCCGGATTCCTTGTAGGTGGAGCTTGAATTCCGGATTTTAATCGTTAGCAGGATAACAGATTCCTTTCCCTATAGCTGAATTTTGGCTTGAAGCGCAGGATTTCAGATTCCACAAGCAAATTTCCCGGATTCCGGAATCCAGATTACCTTACTTGGGGCGAAAATGGATTCAAATAATTGGCGACGATTTTGATAGATAAGGGCATTATTTCATACATATTGCACACAAAGGCCGTAAAAGACTACGTTTCAATCATTTGATATAACTTTTTCCCCCAAATCGCAAATCCCTGAAGAATTGAATGGCAGGAGTTATGCAAACAGTTGTTTTCTTTTTCTATCCTCATAAAGCAGGAATTACTACACTTCTAGATATTAAATTTCTAGAATCTATGTAGTTTTGATAAAAAGAAATGAAATGAAATGTTAAGTATATCCACGCGTTTCGTCAGCGTTTGGAAACTTTGTCTGGGGAGCAAGTCTCATATGTTTTTTCATCGTTTTGATATGACAATGCTGTATAAAGGTTTCATTGGTGCCGTAAGTTGGTGTGGTTGGAAAATCGAGAGCGAAACAAAATTGTTTAACAGTACCACACACTGTATCAGTCAAAAAGAAATCATACTTTTGATTACTGATGATTAAATGCGTTTGTTTAAAATTGTCTCCGTTTGCTTGCTTGTGTTTACTTTTGGGTGGTCACTTTGGGTGAAAATTGCAGATTAACTTCGTGATCGATCATCACCATCATCATCATCATCATCACCATCATCATCATCATCATCATCATCATCATCATCAGTCATTACATTCTCGTTTCTAGAGCCTCCTGTTCCCTTAAGCCTGGTTTTCACTAGCGCATTCTGTAAGCATAAGCATTAGGACATACGCACGCGCAGAATGGCATATTTAACTCAATTCTCGATTGCAGCTCCCCTCAACCCAATAATAAACAAGATGGCAGACGAAGCGTCCGTCATATTGCTTTTGATATGTTCGCATCAGGTCCGGATCAAAGTAACCTATGATTGGTCCTCGGCCTTGTGCTGATACTTGTGCTTATCTCGACCCAGTTTTCACTAGTCAAAGTTACGACATAAACATGAGCATAAGCATAAGCACAAGAAAGAACTTGTCCGTTTTTCTTGTGCTTATGCCTATGTCTGCCCAGTTTTCACTAGCTTACACATGTACTTGTGCTTATGCTTATGCGTTAGTGAAAACCAGGCTTTAGCAGGCGAGGCCTGAGCACGAGAACCAGGAGGCTCTGGGAGACACAGGATTTGAAGTCCTTGATTTTAGGACTTTCCGGTCATTTCTGATTTTCTACAGCGTTTCTTATAGCGTTCACTTGCTCTTGCCAAAGTGTCAATGCCTGTATATTTAAGTGATTCAAAGCTTTTAAAAGAGAATCCTCCAACTTACTTTTGTATTCCAAATGACCGGAGGTCCTAAAATCTAGGACTTCAAATCCTGTGTCCCCAGAGCCTCGATCCTAGTCCTCGTGCTCAGGCCTCGCCGGCTAAGGGAACAACAGGACCTGGGGACGAGAATGCAGTCATTATTAAGACCATTATAAACGTGAATTAAATGTAATAAGAAAGAACGCTGGTCTCAAATGTTTTTCATTTTAAATATTTTTATTTATTTTCACTATACTTTCGTGTGCGAGAGAATAATTATAGTCGATTACTTACGTAAACTTGATATAGTGACAAGTGGCGTGGTTATTGCCGCGTTACGTTTTGGCCACCTAACAATGATTGGCACTGCGCGCACCGCCAGGTCAGCTTCATCTGCGTTCAGTCTTCCATGGATCCTTTTGAAGAGAATTATTCCAACCCGAAATTGGTGTTCATTGGCATAAACCTTACATAATCAGTAGCTTAAGGAGGGAAATGGTTCTCCTTTATATCGAAATGCCCTTTTCTGCGCATACAATAAAAAATCACCGCGAATGTTGGGCGCGCCAGTATCAAACAGTTGTTCCTGTATCTGGCTGCAGAGAGTAAGAAAAGTCTTTTCTTAAACGTCTGCGCCTGTAATAAAAAATCAACGCCAATGTTATCGATGCCAGTAATAATGTTGAGCCCGCCAATAACAGAATTGAGATCCATGCATGACTGTTATCTTGTGAAAGTGTTGCACCAAAAGCTGAAACTGGAACCAGAAAAAGAAGTAAGTGTCTTCAGTAAACCTTACTGAAGTAATTATACCAATTCTTTGATGGGCCCTGTTTTACTGTGAGTTTTTACCAACTCATTTATCGGCACGATAAAACAAAATAAAACAACCAAAAAACGCCAGACTTTTAAAAGCATGACTTGTCTTGCTCAAGCTAACGAATATTGGCAGTTCACTGACGATTCCGTTAGTCTAGATATTAACTTCATAACAGGACTTAGCTGAAACATACCGCTAGAAGTAAGACAAATAAAATAAACATGCAGAAAAATAATAATGTCTGATGATCCGTGTAAAACTTAAGTATACCATCCTGGTCACTAGATACTCCCCACCTGTTGCTTGCGTTGGCTTGTCTCCATCCTCAACTCTAACAAAAATCTTCATACTATCCTCCCCAGCTGGGCTGTAAGCTTTGCATAGGTACAGTCCACTGTCTTTTTTGTTCACTTGGTTTACAACAAGGGTATGATTTTTAAAACCTCTTCCAGATCGTATCCACGTGACCTGTGGAGTAGGAAGTCCAGTCGCCCTGCAGTTCAATTCCAGTCTTTCGCCAGCCCTCAGGGAAATGTTTCTTTCCAAGGAACTGACAATTTTTGGTGGATCTACCGATAAGAAATGTGCGATAAACATTATCAAAGAAAAATTAACTCCACTACAACTTAAAATTCATCAGGCTGCCACGCATACCTACGTTACACAAAGCTTTAAGTCTGTATAACACAGACGTTACATTTTTGTTTGATTTTTGAATAAGCCTTTTGCTGGCTAAAGAGCACTTTTTTCAGAATCTAAAGATTAGTGAAGCTTTGCAGAATATGGCAGGACGCGCATCAATGGTTTTTCTCGAAAACTTTACTCTGTACAAGTAAAAAAATTCTTGGACTTAAAAGCGATACTTAAAACAGCTTCCTCCCTGTCCTCCTACAAAAGAAAAGAGGAAATTTCTAACCGCTGGCTGAAATAATACCTTTTTTAGTTTTTAAACTATATTTAATATTACAATTACCCTCCAAGCGAAGTGCAACAACATCTTTTAACGGATTCCGTGCCAAGCCAAGCTCAATGTGAAGACCATAATCATTCTCATCTCCTGTGCTTAGATTATGAACCGTGAATGCGACTTGCAGAACAGATATGTTGAATGTGCAGCTTATTTTGTTCCCGTAGTTTTGTCGAGTTATTACTTTCCCATACTTGCCGATAACCATGAGTTTGGTCTTCAGATACCCTGGTGCTTTCCACAACCCGAAAGCCACATCTTCCACGCTCTCGATCCAAGTCCTTCCGGGGAGAAGTTTGAAAGTCCAGTCAAATGTTATGTTTCCGTGCTTTTTCCCAATCACGAGATGGCTCGGTCCTGAAACAATCCTCGGACGCTGTTGCTGGTGTGACGCTGGCCAGTTAAAAATAAGTAAACGACAGCTCAATAATCAGCTTAGTTCTAAGTTACATGTGATTGAGAAGATCAGCTCATCACCCCACCCACTGCCCCCGCCCAATTACGCAGACCTCACAAACCCGGTTGAATTGTTGGTTTACATTCGGGATAAGTAATCCGCAAAACATTCAATCCAATCAGTAAAATCTTACGGCAATACCGTAACCGTGAGGAAATTTTTAAGCCACATACAGGTGTCGTGAGTGCTGAATTAAACACTCTCACAGTCACACCTTTCTGGCTAGCTCTCTTCATAAGTTTCAGCGCTTTTCCATCTTGTATTTCACGTTTGATAGTGGTCTTGAAATAAGAACCGAAATATTACGTTTACTTTATTATTTTGTGTCAATTCTTGCTTATACTTGCATTTCAAGTTAGCAAGATGTTTTTCGAAGTTGTTTTTGTATTATACTCTCTCACAGCCCTCCAGAAATCTACGTTATTTGAAATGAAAGTTGTTTTACAGACTTTATATCAAGATTAAGTAACAGCAATTACTTTTCATGATCTTCTTTAATCAGGTGCCCCTTTCCCGACGCCTTTTCTCTCTCTTTACATTTGTTAGCAAATTTGATTCTTGGTCTTCTCCACCAGTGATTAAAAATCTTTCAAAAATGAAAGCAGTTTTACAATCAGCTGTAGCGATCTGCTTCCTCCCTTCTATTTTTGCTGAAACGTATATGTAGCACTGTGCAGCTTATTGGGCTACTACCTGTCTGGCCCCAGTTGTTCAAAACTCGATAACCGGCTACTCCACTGGGTAATTACTCTATGGTGGATAATGCATTGTTTTCCTTTACTGTTTATCCGCTGGATAGTGATTTATCCGATGGATATATAGCACTATCCAACAACGAGGTCTGATTGTTAGATTGTCCTCGCATCCAGATTTCCGCATTCTAAGATTCCTTATTTTTCCCCGAGGCCAGTTTGCTGAGCACGTGTCAAATATGTCACTAGTAATAGTTTCCTAGAAAAACGGGAAGTAGGTACTTGAGGATCGTAAACAAATGCTGTTATTATTATAATCGAGAGAAGAAAACGAAAGATCCATAACAATCCCTCGGTATTGAAATCGTTAATGTGCAATTCTGAGAAAAAGAAAAAGGTGTTTACCACAAAATCATGATTAAACGTTAATTATTGTAAATTATAAAACGAAAATTGCAAATGCGAAAACCAATTTCACTCAACACGAATCGCAAAACAATGAAAGCGAGCCTGGGTTTCGCCTGCAATTTAACGTGGTATTCACGAGACAGGTAACTGTCCTTGAATCGCGTAAGCCTTTGATACACTTACATTGGACGCTTGGGCTGCCTGATATCGTCTTTGCTCTAAGTACCGACAAGTTGGCAAAATAGGTCAGAAAAGAGATTAGAAAGTCCCCGACATGTGATTTAAAAATAATCGAGCTGAATCTACTTCTAAGAATCGCAGAAAGTTGTTCGGATCTAGCTCAACAGCTTCTAAATAAACTACAATTTCATACCTACGAAAGAATTCATGAGTCAGCTGTAACGAATTTTCTGTGAATCCTAAATCTCAGAATACCATCTAACTACGGTATTAAGGAAGTACACTTGCAGCCGTTCTGCAGTTTTCATTTTAAGAAATACAAGCATAAATTGGTACTTCCTCCTGCCGCTCGTTCGCCACTTTTGATTATCCTCGATACTGAAAATACGTGAGTTTAGCCTAAAGGCTTCTCCCCCATAAACACTCAGTATAAGGCAGGAGATTAAAAACACCGATTTATATCAAAATTTTATTCAACTTACCTGAAATGCAAAGGTTCATAATAACATAAAGTAAAAGCATCGTGGATGTGTTCGTTGAAGATTGCTTATTTTTTAGCGCAAGCGGTCTTCTTATAGCAATCCAATTTGCCTTCGCGAGTTATTAAACGAAGATATACAATCATGGAGAGAATGTATACTTTTGACTTCAATAAAGTCAACTTGATGTGCACCAATACTTTGTAAGCTCTTATGGCATCGACAGTTTTCTGACCTTTCCGAGAAAACGCTTAGTTATGAGAAACCTCCTTTTCAAAACAAACAAGGATACCTGCCATGCTAATAATATATACATTTAGCCAGGGCTAAAAGCGAAGCTCTCGTTAACGTGTAAACAAAAAAAAAATTAAATCGTGCAATGCTAAACGGGGACGACAATGAATGGCTTCAAGACTAATAGATCTAATTAGCAAAAACACAAATTGCACGTGCAACACACTTTTTCTTCTAATTAGCAAAAAACAGATTTGGCACGTGCAGCACGCTTTTTTGTCTTTCCCTTGCAGTTGTTTTACACGACTACAACGCTGTTTTGTACGACTAAGGGCCTGTTTACATGGAAGTGGGGGACCCCAGGTAGGTGAGGTAACCCCCTTAGGTGGGGTAACCCGCCTGTCCATATAATCTCTCATTTTACTTGGATCACGTTTACATGATAGGTGGGGTGACCCGCCTAGTTACACATTATTTTTGTGGAGGAATTGTCGTATGTGCTTACCCAATATTTTGTTTTCTGTGTTCACGTTCGCTCTTATTTTTCACTGCCGCTCATTTTCACCTTGCTTGCCGCTAGCATTTCTCATTTTCTCACCGCCGCTTTGAATTTCCGTGTCTTTCTTCCTACGAAATTCGTCTCCTTTGTTTTCAATAACTCGCTCTAGCTCTTCTCTGTTATCCACGTTAGTGTAAACATAAAAAAATAACACCGAAAAAGACACGACTTTGTTGTTGTTTTTTCTTTCTAAAAGTCCGGACGGCCATGTGATTTCCTTCCAAATAAAACCTTGAGTTGCATTTGGATTGCCATACCTGTTGATTGAGGCATTTTACATTGGTGTGCCTGTGGTGCGGACGGACGGTCGCCCGTTTGCTCGCTCGCTCGGTGTAAGGTCACGTGATTACCAAATTTTCTCGGATGGGAATTCCCATCCCATTCTCGTTCCCAGAGCCCGTCGTTTCTTGGTCACGTGGTCTTGAAATGAGGGGCTCTGGAAGCAGCCGTTACCGGATGTCAGAAAATTTCTGACATCCGGTCACGCATGTGTGGAAGATACAAATATCACTGCTCATGCTCAAGGCGGATTTTTGTCCCTCACCGCTCTACTGGGGAAATTTTTTTACTTCCTGAGCTCTCTCCTGAGAGTGGCTTCTTTGGGCTGTTTTGAAAATACAGACTTCACTCAACTAGGATTCACTGATAATTTAGAGTCAAAAGGAGAAGACATTAACAAAAACCAGCTGAACACACTGTTGGGTCGCAGAACTGAGACAATTAATCGGCAGATTATCGTCTGAGTTTAATATGTGAGTTTACGTTTGGCGAAAACAAACACCGGGAAAGCAAGATCGCGGAGATCGAAGGTATCTCTTGTTCCATGTCCTGAAAATGCTATCTTATTTCAAAACGTCTTTTGAAACGAAACAATTCATGTGTTGTGTTATTGAAGTGGACAGGAAAATAAAATATATATATTCGTTTCACTCTATCTAGTTGTGTTTTTTGCTATGTTTATTTCCTTTTGAGGTGTCGAATGGTAGGTTTTAATTTTGCCCATGAACTTTTGAGTATAACTTGAGTCAAGACAATAGAAGGTTTATGTCAAAACAAATCAGTATTAATTATTTTGCAGTCCCAAACAGGGTAAAAAACAGTATAAACTTTGTCCAGGAGAAGTGACAGCTTACTGGAGGGGGCTAGATATCTGAGAAAGTCTCTTACACTTCCATGGACTAGAAAACGGAGTGAATCAAATTCCAGTTCAGTTCTTTCTGTATAACAACCTGAAACTTGATTCACTCAGTTTCCTAACCCTAATCATAAAACTTGAGGGTCTCTTTATCTTTAATCAAGGTAATTGCCAATAGCGTTTATGCTAATCCGGCAATGAGTCATTTGGTGTTTATGGTGACCATTCAGTGTTTTGCAAAAGGGGAACTTTATCTATTAGAGGTTTATCCTCCTAAAGATTTCAGTTATCATCTAACTAAATACCATCATCCATCAAAACCTCTGTGAGAGAGTTTTCAATAATTTTGCTGTCAAATTGAGAAAATCGTGAACACGTGAAAATTTTCAGGAATATTGTCTAGTGACCAATCACCATGAAGTTCAGAACACATGAGCAAACCTCATAGGGGTAAGGGGTTTTAAGGTTTTTGTTTGTTTGTTTTTTGAAAAAGCAGGGGCTTGTTTCTGAGGGGCTATATAACTGGAATAGAAAAAGCGATTCAAAACAAACTACTTTTTCCATTTATTAAGTTTTTAACTAAGCTTCTAAATGAAATAGTGGAAGCTTAGGGGAGGGCTTGTAACCAGGGGAGCCATTGTTCCTTGTTTACTTGTTTACTTCTCACTATCTGAATGCCTAGAACAGGTTATCATAAGCTATTTAGCTGTACTTTCTTATCTGGAACAGTGAAATGAAGAGTGATATACACTTTATATAGACTGTATCCTTTAGAAGATCCCCTTAGAAGTACACTTTGAGTATCACACAACCCAAAAGTATTTTCTTGGGTAGCTGCTCTCGTCATGTTTTGAAAGTGGAGTGCAAGGCCTGGTTTGAAATTGGGGATAGAATTTTGGATCAGACCTGAAATAGGATAGGGAAAATCACATAGTTNTTTTCAGGAATATTGTCTAGTGACCAATCACCATGAAGTTCAGAACACATGAGCAAACCTCATAGGGGTAAGGGGTTTTAAGGTTTTTGTTTGTTTGTTTGTTTGTTTTTTGAAAAAGCAGGGGCTTGTTTCTGAGGGGCTATATAACTGGAATAGAAAAAGCGATTCAAAACAAACTACTTTTTCCATTTATTAAGTTTTTAACTAAGCTTCTAAATGAAATAGTGGAAGCTTAGGGGAGGGCTTGTAACCAGGGGAGCCATTGTTCCTTGTTTACTTGTTTACTTCTCACTATCTGAATGCCTAGAACAGGTTATCATAAGCTATTTAGCTGTACTTTCTTATCTGGAACAGTGAAATGAAGAGTGATATACACTTTATATAGACTGTATCCTTTAGAAGATCCCCTTAGAAGTACACTTTGAGTATCACACAACCCAAAAGTATTTTCTTGGGTAGCTGCTCTCGTCATGTTTTGAAAGTGGAGTGCAAGGCCTGGTTTGAAATTGGGGATAGAATTTTGGATCAGACCTGAAATAGGATAGGGAAAATCACATAGTTTGGTCAAACTTTGGCAAGGTAAGAAGCATACTGCATGCAGGGCCTACATGAACTGATTTTTTTTGGGGGGGGAGGGGGGGGGGTAGTACAGTTTTATTGAAACTGAATGTGGTACTTTATAGAGTTAAAGTATAATATCTGCTCACAGCTATAATTGTATAATTATTGTTCAGTTCACTTAAAATTGATTATTTTGTGTTATAATATGAGGGTTTCTGACTAGGAAAGAGCTTTACTAGAACTGAATCAATAACCAGTGGAAGCAAGTTTTAATTTGGCTCGTTATATGTCAGTAACCAAGTAAACTAAGATACCATATGCTTACGGTAAGCTAATTAGGCTGTGTGCAAGCTTAAGGAGGGGGGTGGATAGCGGAGGTCGTTAGGATTACCTGGTAAACTAGAATATTATTGGTGCTCAAGCTATTATGTTACCCACCATATCGAAGGTGACATACTGCAAAATCCAGCTGTCATCATCAACAACTACTTGCCCCTGCAGTATGATGCAAAATAGACTACTCTTGGCTGTTGTCCATTTATTATTTTATTTATCAACACCTCAGTTGTCCAAAACATTGCAGTAAATCTACATTAGGCCAGTTTTCTTATAACATATAATTTTAAACAGTTTCTTCAAAGTTTTCTTGTATTTAGAACTTTAAAACCAAATTGTTGAGAACATTGTACTACCTTATTTAGTGATCAGATAAACAACATAGATATTTATCAAGGAAAATTGTGCAATAGCTGCTTCTTTGTTAACTGTTCATTATAAACCACCCTGGAGGCCCTTGTTTGTCTTTGTCTAAATGGCACATGACTGGAAGCCAAGAAAGGACTGTTAGGATGAGAATATGTTCTTGCAACACACTTGTAACAAGAGCTAACAAGTCGGCCACAGAGCCTTTCCTTTCACAGCCTAATTCGTACTGTTAAAATAATCACTATCAGAGGGCCTCCACAACTATTAAAGCATTAATTCAGCGGAAGAAAATGTAGATTGGAAAGAGCACTTGCCCTATCATCTTTATACACAAAAATTGCCTTATGCATGCAGCCCAAAAGATTCATAAGCTATTCAGTTCTTGCTTTGTGCACTGACATTAGAGTTCTAATGAATAAAGGCTTGTAACAGAAAATTATCTTGACCCATTAATACAGCAAAGGAGATTTACTTTCAGCAGAAAAAATAAACAATCAAACAATCAAAAGCACATTGTAATAAACTTATTATTACGTACGTATCATTTCTGTAATGTAGTCCTTGAGCTTGATTTCCTCTCTTACTGTAGCACAGACGAATATCCAGAAAAATTAGACAGACTGATTAGATTTAATAACGCCATACAAGTGCGGTCGATTGCTCGATTTTTAACTTTTAATCTATGTGAGCAAGGGCTAACCATTCACTCACAACGAAGGCAAACGTTCTTTGTCAAGGCTCGTGGTTCTCGTTGAAACTTCTTAAACTTGACCTTCAATTCTCTTCTTCACTGCTATTGCATTGCATTCATTTGCTAACAAAACAGGATTGTCGCTATCCACGTAAATCAGATACGGATTTCATGTTTGCAGTTCGAGAGGTCAGGAAATAAAATGTTATTCGCAGTAGATT